CATAAGGGGCTGAGGTTGGGGTGCTGTTGGGGACTCTGGGTGTCGAGAGGGAGGAGAGTTCATGGGAGATGCTTCATACGTGGTCATCTGTCTGCCCTCTCTCTCAGAGATGCAGAGACCTCAGAGATGCAGAGACTTCCCCCAGACTGCGATGACACAGTCACTTATTCAGTGTTGCAGAAGCGTCAGGTGGTAAGGAGGGTGGGGCTGTGGAAGGCTGGGGACGGGCGCCCGGCTTCCGCGGTGGGTCCCACATAGGAAGGACTTGGGTAGGCCATCCGTCATGGCAGAGGTTGGGTGTTGGAGACGGTTGCTCTGACAGAGCTGGTCAGAGCCAGGCAAGTACCTCTGGGTCCTGGATACTGGCCACAGCCAGTTTCCTGACACAAGGACGCCCGCCTGGGCTTTTGGACCCCTGGGTGGAATGAAGGAGAGAATGCAGAGAAAAGCAGCGGTGGAGGCTGGCGACAGCGAGCCAGGCTGACCACCACGTGGTTTTCTCAGGGCGACTATGAGAACGTCATTCCAGATTTTGTAGAAGATGAGGGGATTCATTACTCAGAGCTGATTCAGTTTGGGTTCGGGGAGCGGCCTCAGGCGCAAGAAAATGTGGACTATGTGATCGTGAAGCACTGACGCCGGACAGGCTGCGGCGGAGGCGCTGGGGACAGCAGGGGCCAGGGAAGTCCCAGAGCTTCCGCAGACACCACCACATGGCTTCCTCCTCTGCGCATGCGCGCGCGCGCGCACACACACACACACACACACACACACACACACACCCCACACACACATGCTCACTGCGGAGAACCTTGTGCCTGGCTCAGAGCCAGCCTTTTCGGTGAGGGTAACCCCAACGCTCCAAAACTCCTGTCCCTGTTCTTTCCACCCAGCTCCTTGCTACCCAGAAACCCATCTAAACACCTGCCCTCACGTGCACACCTCCCCCTGCCCCCACCACGGCCACTGGCCCCCCACCCCCAGTGGCTTGTGTCCCTCCTGGGATCTGCTTGTCATCATTTTTCCTTCCCTTCTACATCTCTCTGGCCCCCTACCCCTGATCTGACATCCCCAGTCACAAATATTACGCCCAGTTTCTGCCTCTGGGGGAGAGCCCAGAAAAGGACAGAAATGAAGTAGGAAAGGGCCCAGTCCTGGCCTGGCTTCTCCTCTGGAAATGAGGCATTGCACAGGGAGGCGTACATAACAGCGGCCCCTTGACTCCAAGGACTCCGGGTTTGAGATGGACACACTGGTATGGATTAACATGCCATGGAGACAGAGCTCACAATAAAAATGGCTCAGATGCCACTTCAAAGAACCAGCGAACGCTTTTCAGTCTGTGGAGTCAGAGTGGGGATGAGGAGAGGGGAAAGGCTTCACGGGGCCTGGGGGGAAGGAAATGGAGTCACAGTGGTTTAGTGATCAAACCAGCAGATTAGAGAGTCTGGTGTCTTGTTAGGAAAAGCATACTGGCTCTGCAGGCAGACAAGCGTGAGAGCTTGAATCTTGATTCTTTGGCTTAACTAGCCCGGTGATCTTGGCAGGGTTCACCAGCTTGCCTGAGCCTCGTTTTCTCCATCTGTAAAGTGGAGAGGGAGAGACTACTGCCTACCACGCACGTGGCCCACGATAGGAAGTGAGGCATCCTCTTATATATGCTGGAGCCACACTGAGACCCAGCGCAGAAGCTGAAAGTCCCCCAGAAAACAACCCCCTGTCCTTTATTTGCATTTCTCAAAGAATGTGAAAAGGGGAAGCCAGTTCAAAACGGCTCTTCCCAAAAGTGACGCTACTCAGTTCTTGCACAACCCATAGCTTCCAGAGAAAGTCCTGAAGACCAGCCACCCTGAGAAACCTCACAGCTTTTCTGTCGTTCAAGGTCCTCTGCACCCGTTCCCTAATTCTCTTCACTGATTCAGACTTTCCAGTTAGGTGCCCCAGCTCCCCTCTCGCTTCTCAGGTTTGATCTTTCTCCACCCATTCACCTGCTTCTGCAAAGAGGCCCATTCTCCTTAGAGGGCAGGGGTGTGATTATCTGACCATCCAGGAGATCGGCTCCTGGCATGTGGCAGGTTTCCCCAAACTGCCACCTTCCTTTCCCATCCTCCTTTCCCTCCCATCTCTGCTCAGCACCTGGATGGTAACTCTAGGAATTATGGTGCAGGGGGGCCTTGATCTCCCCATCAATCCACTTTGTCCCTGGTTTGATTTCTCATGAGCACCATTAACTTTTCTGGAGGCAGGTGAGACTTTAAGAACTATTTAAAGGCCAGGCGTGGTGGATCACACCTGTAATCCCAGCACTCTGGGAAGCCGAGGTAGGTGGATCACCTGCGATCAGGAGTTCAAGACCAGCCTAGCCAACATGGCAAAATCCTCTCTCTACCAAAAACACAAAAATTAGCTGGGCATGGTGGTTCCCACCTGTAATCTCAGCTACTTGGGAGGCTGAGGCAGGAGAATCGCTTGAACCCGGGAGGTGGAGGTTGCAGTGAGCCGAGATCACACTACTGCACTCCAGCCTGGGTGACAGAGCAAGAGTCCGTCTCAAAACAACAACAACAAAAACTGTTTAAATGAGACAGGGAGGGCATTGGGGTGTCTGTGCCCAAAATGAGGTCTGGTGTCATTTAGCCCTTTTTTCATTCACTCGGCACACAGATACTGAGCACCTGGAAATGCACCCAGTATAGAGCCAGTTGTTAGGGCACCAAAAAGATAAGGCATAGGACCAACCTTGGGGATCTCTAGTCTAGGGCTGCCAAGGGTTTTTAAGGCAAGACCCCCTGGAGGGAGCTGAGGCAGTCCTAAGCCTGAAGGGCCTGGCTCAGGCTGCCTGGCAACCATCGAGCGTCTTCCCCTTCCCACCCTGTCCCTCAGCACAGCTGCTGACATAAACCTACTACATGGCTGATTGACCATGAGATGTGGCCATCAATAGACATTGCTGAAGCATGAAGAGCAGGTGCCCAGGAAGCTGGGCAGCCAGGACTCCAGATGCAAGCCGCCCTCCACAACCCCAGCTCTCACCGTCCTCCCAGGGTCCAGATAATGGATCGTGCATTTAGGTTCCCAAACACCTGCTGTGCAACATGCAGTAGACAAAGCAGACCAAAGCCTTTGCCCTCAGGAGGCCCGGCATTCTAGCTCAGGAGCCAGCCAAGACGATGTCGCACTGAAGAAAGACAACAAAAGTGAGATTCACGGGAGGGATCAGTGTGGCTGAGGCACCCGGGAAGGCTCCTGGAGGAGGTGACCTTGGGCAAAGATCCAGACGCCAGGTGGGTGGGGCCAAAGCAGAGAAGATCTGGAAAACCCAACAGCTCCCCGGGGCTTCACTTTTGCTATAGGAGGGGAAATGGCACTGCTTTGGATTCTTCCTCGGTTTTGTCCATTTCTCGGTTCCCAACAACAGACTGAACAGTAGGAGGCCGGTTCTCTGCTCACAGCAGGTGCTGCACCCCATGCGCAGCTCCTACTGGGGGAGAAAAAGGAGAGCATGGACCAATTTAGTGACTCCAAAGTATGAAAAGCAGTGAGATGGTGTCTTTGAGGGAGTTAGTGACAGGCTGAGACCCCCTTGCTGTTCCCCCTGAAGCCTGGTGACTGGAGCTGCCAGGAGGCCACAGAGAGAGAGGTTTATGATGGGAGACCTGGAATTTGGAAGGGGCAGAGTGGTCAGGTGACCCACACACGCCTGAGAAAACTGATGTGGAGAGGCTGTGTTGTCATTCTGAGGCAGGAAACAGACAGACAGACAGACAGACAGACACTGGCACAGTGAGAGACAGAGACAGAATCACAGAGCAGAGCTGGCTTCTCACCGGCAGATACGGGCACACGTGAGAGAGCATCCAGCGAGGTTAGAAATCCTCCTTAGGTCCTCCTGGGAGACTCAGGTGACCCAAATGGGAAACATGAAAGGCTGGGAGGATTCTCAGGGCTGAGAGAAGGAAGCTACGCAGCCGGCCGGTGCCACATTCCTTGTGCCTCAGGGAGTGCCCCCCAATGTCCCCAGCCATGCACCCTGGGGGGAGTCAGCTTGGACATTTGTGCCACCCCTTGACAGGCAAAGTGGGGGCCACAACCTGGGTCCTCCAGTGCCAGCCAGCAGAGGCTGCCCCCATCCCTTGCCTTCCTCCTCCTGCTCCTTCCTCCAGCCCTGGAAAGGTCAGAAGCCACCACCCTGGAACTAGAGGGGAAAGAGAGGCAGAACAGAGGGGCCCCTCCTTGCAAAAACGAAAACAAGCCCACAACCTGTGCAGAGCCGCACCTGGGTGTGATCACTCCTTGTCCCACACACCCACTGCCACGTGGAGATGGCTTCATGGCTGCGGTCACGGGGCACCCTGTGTTGTCCGAGGTGAGCCAGTGAGACCCGGGGCCTGCCCAGGGGTGCATCGAGGGTGGAGCAGACCTGGCCCCAGCGCAGGTATAAACAAGCAGGAGGGCTGGGGAGGGACTAGCACTGGGTTGTGGCCTAGCCCCCAAGCCCTGCTGTTGCAAGGCACTAGCTACACACCCGGCCCCTACCCAGACAGAACCCCAATTCCTCCCTGGCCCCTCTGTGTTCCAGCATCTTCCCAGCCCCTCACCTCCTCTGGTGTGGCCTCACCTCCAGCCGGGATGCCCCATTAGCTGCTCACCCAAGCTGCTAGAACCTCAGGTTAATGGCCCTGCCACCCGCCCTCCTCCCCTTCCGGCTCACTGCTCATCCCGGGCATCCTCCATCAGCCCGCTGAGGGGACTGCTGAGCCTCAGAGACATCTGGCGGCGCCAGGAGGTGGGTCCCTCTCTCTGTGGTTCCTCTCTTCACCTAACTGTTCCCCAGACCTCCAGACCCCTGCCCAGGTGGCCCCTGAGAACTGCTAAGCTCAATCGTGACATGGATGGGGCCCAGCTGACCCTTGAGCTCTCCCTGGGGGACCCCCTTTTCCTGCCCCTGGCCACACCCTCACCTCATCCACACCCTTCTCCTCCCTGCTGCCCTGCCGACTTTCCACTGTGGGGGAGCAGCTCTTGCCTTGCCAGGGAACCGGGGAGGGCAGTGGGCTCAGGAGTCAAACTCCCATTCCCAGGGAAGGCTCAGGCTGTGGGGCCCAGCCCTGTTCTGAATTCTCTCCACCCCTTCTCCCCACAGAGTCTCAGAAATCGAGAAGCCTTCTTCCTCTGCACCACCCAGCCATGCACCCTGGGGGAGTCGGCTTGGACATCTGTGCCACATCCTATCTCCTGTGACACTCCAGGAGCTTCCCTGGTTTTAAGAAGTGATATAGTGGAGAGAAAGCACAGGACTAGGGGCCACAGGTCCCAGCTTCTCATCCAGGCTCCGCGGCTCCCTGGCTACTGCCTTCCTCTGTGGGCCTCCGTTTCCTCCGTGATACCATCAGGCGAATTCTAATCCTCCAGGCAGGGCTGGAACCCGCGAGTAATCCCAGGAGCCCCTCCTCTCAGGGGCCCCAAGATCTGAGACCAGGGAGCCAGCTGCACACAGGAGCCCTGCAGGCCAGGACAGTGGCCCCATGGACCTGCCCCGGCAGCTCTCCTTCGCCCTCTATGTGGCGGCCTTTGCGCTGGGCTTCCCGCTCAACGTCCTGGCCATCCGAGGCGCGACAGCCCACGCCCGGCTGCGTCTCACCCCCAGCCTGGTCTACGCCCTGAACCTGGGCTGCTCCGACCTGTTGCTGACAGTCTCCCTGCCCCTGAAGGCGGTGGAGGCGCTGGCCTCCGGGGCCTGGCCTCTGCCGGCCTCGCTGTGCCCTGTCTTCGGGGTGGCCCACTTTGCTCCACTCTATGCCGGCGGGGGCTTCCTGGCCGCCCTGAGTGCAGGCCGCTACCTGGGAGCGGCCTTCCCCTTGGGCTACCAAGCCTTCCGGAGGCCGTGCTATTCCTGGGGGGTGTGTGCGGCCATCTGGGCCCTCGTCCTGTGTCACCTGGGTCTGGTCTTGGTGTTGGAGGCTCCGGGAGGCTGGCTGGACCACAGCAACACCTCCCTGGGCATCAACACACCGGTCAACGGCTCTCCTGTCTGCCTGGAGGCCTGGGACCCGGCCTCTGCCGGCCCGGCCCGCTTCAGCCTCTCTCTCCTGCTTTTTTTCCTGCCCTTGGCCATCACAGCCTTCTGCTACGTGGGCTGCCTCCGGGCACTGGCCCACTCCGGCCTGACGCACAGGCGGAAGCTGAGGGCCGCCTGGGTAGCCGGCGGGGCCCTCCTCACGCTGCTGCTCTGCGTAGGACCCTACAACGCCTCCAACGTAGCCAACTTCCTGAACCCCAATCTGGGAGGCTCCTGGCGGAAGCTGGGGCTCATCACGGGTGCCTGGAGTGTGGTGCTCAACCCGCTGGTGACCGGTTACTTGGGAAGGGGTCCTGGCCTGAAGACAGTGTGTGCGGCAAGAACGCAAGGGAGCACGTCCCAGAAGTAACGCCACCGCTCGGGGGAAGGAGCATGAGGCAGGAGGGCCCGGCTGCGTCTCCAGGCCCCTGCGGAGGGCTGCTTCGGAGGAACTGCAGGGCAGCCTGGCCCGGAGGCCTCCCTGGAGCCACTCAAGCGGAGAGCGGCGCCTGCTGAGGGCAGCACCCCAATCAAGAGAGGAGCACGGAGCCAAAGCAAGGCGGCAGGGGGAGGTAAGCTTGCCCCTGCACACGTCGGCCCCTTTCCTCATCTGTCTGTCTCTCCCCTCTGCACGTCCTCACCTGCCTGTCTTCAGGGGGCCGCGAGCAGAGGCCTTGTACTTACGGGAAGGAGGAGGCAATCTGTTTCTGACCCACACGAGCGGTCACTCCGGTGATGCACTTGAGGACACCCTACTCTGAAATCAGTTCCCAGGTGAGAACATTTGATTTCGGAGTAGGAGAGGAGGCAGGAGGCAGGATAATGACACTGTTATACCATGCGAAACTCACAAGGGGGCAGCCTTGGAGCTGGGAACGGAGGCTGGCGGGAAAAGATGTTTCAGCCGGGGAGGGAAAATGCAAGGTCCCGCAGTGATGGGCAGCGGCCACGCAGTTGACTCTTGAACAACGTGGGGATGGGGTGCCGAACCCCCACGCAGTGGAAAATCTGTGCATAACTTTGACTCCCCACAAAGTTAAACTACTAATAGCCTATTGTTGACCAAAAGCTTTACTCAATATATAAACAATTGAGTAAGACAATTTGAAGCCAGACACAGTGGCTTGTCCTGTAATCCCAGCACTTTAGGAGGCTGAGGCGGGAAGACTGCTTGAAGCCAGGAGTTCAAGACCAGCCTGGGCAACATAGTGAGACACCCCCCTCCCACCTCTACAAATAATAAAAATAAAAATAATTAGTTGGGCGTGGTTGTGCGTGCCTGTAGTCCCAGCTACTCAGGAGGCTGAGGTGGGAGGATCGCTTGAGCCCAGGATCGAGGCTGCAATGAGCCTGATTGCACCACTGCAGTCCAGCCTGAGTGACAGAGCAAGACCCTGTCTCTGGAAAAAAAAGAAAAATGACATATTTTGTATGTTATATGTATTATGTGCTGTATTCTTACAAGAAAGTAAGCTAGAGAAAAGTACATGTTACTGAAGCACTGTGCTGTATTTATCCATACCATAAGTTTATGCTGTCTGTTTATAAGAGAAAGTGTCTGTCTGAAGCAGCAGTAACCACAGCTGCAGATCTCAATCTATGGTAGATATCAAGCAGTTCAACCCTTTTTTGTAATGTTTTAACTTTTCTTTGCTTCTTGGAAGCAGTCTGGCATCACTAGCAGCCCCGCATATGAGGCCCAGGGGGTTATTCAGACTTTACGGTATTGCACTAAACGTGGTGAAAAATACGCAATAACTACGAGACATCACTTTTTACTTCTATACACAATGCGCTGGCGAGAACTGCTCACCAGGAGACGATTAGCTTCACGTGGTGTTTTAAGCAGATACTCAACAGCTGAGCTCATGGAGACAGCACAGGAGGTGGCTACGAAATTATTACAGGAGTGTAGTGTATCTACAGTAACTATGTGCTTATGACTTAATACTGCACATCTTTATGTTTGCTTGCATTTCTCTTGACTTCAAATGGCACCAAGTAGAGTTTGTGTGCGTATATTTTTGATAAATTTTAACTTTTTTTTTTTTTTTTTTTTTTTTTTTTAGACAGAGTCTTGCTCTGTCTCCCAGGCTGGAGTACAATGGTGTGATCTTGGCTCACTGCAACCTCTGCCTCCCGGCTTCAAGCAATTCTCCTGCCTCAGTCTCCCAAGTAGCTGGTATTATAGGCACCCACCACCACACCTGGCTAATTTTTTGTATTTTAAGTAAAGATGGGGTTTTGCCATGTTGGCCAGTCTTGTCTCGAACTCCTGACCTCAGCTGACCCACCCGCTTCGGCCTTCCAAAGTGCTGGGATTACAGGCGTGAGCCACAGTGCCTGGCCAATTTTAACTTTCTATAAGAGATTTGCCCAACCTGGGCAACATGGCGAAACCCTGTCTTTACCAAAAATACAAAAAAAAATTAGCTGGGCATGGTGGTGTATGCCTACTTGGGAGGCTGAGGTGGGAGGATGGTTTGAGCCTGGGAGGCGGAGGTTGCAGTGAGCCGAGATCATGCCATTGTAGTGAGTCGAGATTATGCCATTGCACTCTAGCCTGGGCAATAGAGCCAGATCCTGTCTCAAAAACAAAAACAAAAACAAACAAAAAAAAGCTTTGCATCCATTTTGTGGCAGTAAATGATAAGATAGACTAGTACCTACATATATTTTTTGCATTCGTGACATACTTAACTTTTGCTTAATTTTTAAAATATATGTCTAGGCTTGTGGTTCCTCTGTAAGTTTTTTTTCAAATTGTTGCAAATCTCTAAAACTGTTTCCAATATATTTATTGAAAAAAAATCCACAAGTAAGTGGACCTGCACATTCAAACCTGTGCTATTCAAAGGTCAACTATATAGTCTGTAATACGTGATGGGTGCCATGCTGAGTGTCTGCAATGAGTGTTGTCTCACTTCAGCTTCACACAACCTTGTGGTTTAGCCATGCGACTTCTGTGCAGATGGGTGGGTGTTCACTACACGAGGGTACTGGGCAGAGGGGCAAACACTGACTAAATTCTAGCCTGTGCTTTGTTCAGCAAGCCACATGCCTGTCTTGCTTGCATCAAGGGAAGGAGTATTGTGTTCTAATTTGAAGAAATGCACCAGCCACTCCTTAGGCAGCACTTGGTGCGGGGTGGGCTCCTCTGGAAAGGGAGCACCCAATTTGCACAAAGGTGCTGCACCAGGTAGCTGCGATCCTGGAACAGGATGAAGAAAGTTGCCTGAGGCCCTACAGCAAGGACAGGGTAAAAGCAGGATGTGATCCTTCCAGGCAGGACCCCCAAGGTCCAGGGAATATTTGGGAAACCTGGGCGTGTGGAAGGTAACCCTGTATTTGTGGTCCATTTTGCAAAGGATGGCATCCCAAATCCATGAGAGGGAGGGCAGAGGGGAGTGGCTGTGGCTGTGAAGGAGACAGACACCTGGGCACCTGCTCTAAATGACAGCAGTGCCATGCACATGGTGATGTATTGGAGCACAACAAATGGCAGCCACCAGCTGGCGTGCACGCACCAATTTCTACAAATGAGCTCTGTTCGGGCTGAAATGTCTACGCATCCAAGGATTGTTCTTGTAACTGATGATATACCCCCAGCACCCAGAAGAGAGACTGGCACACAGTAGGTGCTCAGTAAATGTTTGCTCAATGAATGAATGAATGCCTCTACTGGCCTTCCAAAGAAAGTTCTACATCTGTTTTATCAATATGGAAACAGGCCAGAGAAATTAAGTAACTTCTTTTGGAAGCCAGAAACAAGCCCGACCCCTGTGCAGTGACGACACCAGGGAATTTCAGTAAAACCCCAAACTCCACCCCAGGGAGCCCCAGTGCGTCCTCCCGCACTGCGGGGCGCCAGGGCCCACTCACTTTGGCTCCTGCTCCACAGCCCCTGCTGGGTACTGGGCTGCTTCTCCCCGTTCCTCCTGCCTCCTCCCACTTAGGGCAAATCCAGTGCCTCCCTGGGACCCAGGAGACTCAGTGAGATCCACCCCAGGCGCCTCTCACTCCTGTGAGACCCAAACCTCCTATCACCAAACCCAGCAGGCCAAGCCTGTGTACCCATGACTCCCCCACCCCAGTGTTCCCTCCAGTGGCTCTTTGCCTTTTCAGTATCCATGTCTTCATGATCTTTGCTCTACATCCCCCAAGCCCTCACCACCAAACGTAATGTAAACAGCATGACAGCAAAAACTTTTCATTCACGACTGTGGGTTTTTTTTTTTTAGACAGGGTCTCACTCTTGCTCAGGCTGGAGTGCAGTGACACAGTCATGGCTCACTGCAGCCTTGAATTCCTGGGCTCCAGCGATTCTTTCACTTCAGCTTCCCAAGTAGCTGGGACCACAGGCACATGCCACTACACCCAGCTAATTTCTTTTTTCTTTCTTTCTTGTTTTTTTTTTTTTTTTTTTTTCCTGTGGACACAGGGTCTCCCTATGTTTCCCAGGCTGGTCTCAAACAACCTGTTGTTGAGCAATCCTCCCACCTCAGCCTGCCAAAGTGCTAAAATTACAGACCTGAGCTGCTGTACCCAGCCTACTGCTGCATTTGTAGCAGCTTAATTGAGATATTATGTACATGTCATCAAATTCACCAATGTTAAGTGTACAATTCGATGATTTTTAGTAAATTTACTGAAGTGTGGGTCCATTACCACCAGCTAGTTTTAGAACATTTTCATGACCCTAGTAGAATCCTTCATGTTCATTTAAATTTAATATTGGGCCAGGCAGGGTGGCTCATGCCTATAATCTTAGCACTTTGGGGAGGCTGGGGCAGGTGGATCACCTGAGGTCAGGAGTTCAAGACCAGCCTGGCCAACATGGCGAAACCTCATCTCTACTAAAAATACAAAAATTACCTAGGCATGGTGGTGGACACCTGTAATCCTAGCTCCCTGGGAGGCTGAGGCATGAGAATCTCTTGAACCTGGGAGGCAGAGGTTGCAGTGAGCCAAGATCGCACCATCGCACTCCAGCCTGGGTGACAGAACAAGACCCTGTACCAGGAAAAAAAAAAAAAGAGAGAAAAAACCAACTTAATTTTCATTTCTACCTCCATCCCCCAGACAACCACGAATCTACTTTCTGACTCTATAACTTTGCCTAATCTGGACATATCATATAAATGAAATCTGACAATATATGGTCTTTTATGTCTGGCTTGTTTTACTCAGCATAAGGCTGTAGTGTATATGGGTAGCTCATTCCTTTTTATTGCCAAATAGAATTCCAGTATATGGATGTGCCACTTTTTTTAATTCACTCACCAGCTGATGGGCTGCCAGGTGACATTTCCACTGTTGGCGACTATGACCAACACTGCTGGGAACATTTAGGACTGAGTCTTTAAGTGGACCTGAGTTTCCACTTCTCTTAAGTAAATACCTACAGTGGAATTGTTGGATTGCATGGTGAATTTATGTTTAACTTTTTAAGCAACTGCCACCTGCTTTCCAAAGCGGGGGCACCACCTCCCATTATTCTCACCAGCAGCGAATGAGGCCCCTGTTTCTCCACATTCTCGCCAACCATAGGCATTGTCTGACCTTTTGCTTGTGGCCATTCTAGTGGATGTGAAATCATATCTCATCGTGCCCCATGATTGTTTGAATGAACTAAGAGATCACCCGTGAAACTGGACAGCACTTGGGTTTGAACCCTGGTGGTGACATTTCACAAGCTGTATCACCTGGAGCAAGTGACTTCACCACGGTGAGGGACAAGGATATGACATAAAAGCGTTGCTCTAGAAGCAAAGTGTCTGCTACGGATTATGTGCCCACGAAAAGGCAGCTGCTGTCATCATCGCCACCGCTGCTATTATTATTATTATTATTATTATTGTTATTGTTATTGTCACCCCAGGATAATCCTGAACCAGTGACAGGGAAAATAGCAGCTGGCATCAGCTGCCCACTCACCACCACATGCCAGGCTTCCGTCAAAGCATTCGACATGTATTAGTAGTCTTTTAATCTACCTACATATTGTTTTAATTTACATGTGTTAATGCGTTAATCTATGAGATGACTACTATGACGAGCTCTGTTCTGTAGGGGAGAAAGCAGAGACGTGGAGAATTTAAGTCATTTCCCCCAAATCACAAAGTCGGAAAG